CACCTGCTGGTGGGAGAGACGACCTTATGGCTGCCATTAGGGCATCCGGAGGCAAGGGTGGCGGAGGCTTGCGGAAGGTCAAAGACACCGACAAGAAGGATCGTAGCGGGGCGATGGTTCCTGGGTCTGCCAACGAATCATCCGCAGCTTCAGCAGGTGGCGGTGCCGCTCAGGGTGGTATGGCAGGCGCTCTTAAAGCCGCTCTGGACAAGAGAAAGCAGAAAGTTAGCGGTAGCGGTAGGTTCATCATTTGCCTATTGATTGATGATGCGTACTAATCTAGAGTATAGATGACGAAAAGGAGGACGACGATGATTGGTAAGCTTGGTGGCTACTTCTTATCTTTGCTTCATATGTTGCTGTGGGTTAGACCGGTCTAGTTACGTTTGATACCTACATATTGCAGCGTTCTTCATTTCAATATTCAGCATTATTCTTCAATTCAGCAGGTATCGGCTGGGGTTTCCCCCTGAAAAGGCTCTTTCATGTAACAAAAGCAATATTTTATAATAGTCTGGGATGATCCGACGAGCAAATATCTGACTCCCTTGCGAAGAAGTAGAAGTAGAAGAAATGTTCTGTAGTTGGAGATGATATAGTCACGGAACATCATTAACCCGAGATGGTCCGCGCGGCGCAACTCCATGTAGGAAAAAAAGAGAGCCGAGCAATACTGCGGCTCGAACAGAGGGAGAACGAGACGGTAGTACGGTAGTACTTCGATGGTGGCTTGTTGATCTAGACAAGTCCGAAATGCTATCTCCGCCACCTTTGAAACCGGCAGTTCCTTCAGCGTCGCTACTCCGATACCTCCGCTCCCAGTCAGAGAATACCTATGTCTTCACATCGGCATGCGGAACTTCTCGAAAGCCGCAAGTTCATAACCAGCCATCCCGTATGCCCGCATTGAGAAATACATCCAGCTGGGCCTATATTACGCCAATACAATGTCGCGCCACGTTACAGACAAACCTTCCAACCATTTCTAGAAGCCGTGGTTCATCGCGATGTCGAGCTGCGCTGGGTCAATCTCCGCCTCCCATCTCCGTGTTTTCGCGGGCTACACACACGAAGAGTCGCCCTTTACTTCGCAGGCTATTTGACCTAAGGCGTAATAAAGCGGCTGCAGAGGCCAAACTGAACCGCACCGGTGGTCCTGCGTTGGTCGATGAGGGAACAGAGGGCTTGAATTTTGGACGTGGATTAGCGGCAAAGGCTTCCAACGAGCTGCGATTGCGATGCACTGAGTTTGATAACAACGGCAATGTCACACTTGTCAATGGAGAGTTTAGGAAGAGTGAGCTTATCGCAAAGGTTGGTAACTGTCCCTCTCCTTAGCGGTTGCGACTTTACTTCGGACAATATCAAAGCTAAACGGACTAAAAAGTATGGCCTCCTCCCTCGAGACCTTCGCAAAATTGACTCTTCCACCTTGCCTCACATTCTTGTACGACCGAGTGCTATCCTTATCAACCTTCTACATCTTCGCGTGCTGATCAAGGCCGATCGGGTTTTGGTCTTTGATGCCTACGGATCTACCGATTCATATATGCAGTCGCTGTTTGTATATGACCTGGAAGGAAAGCTACGTCAGAAACAATCGCAGGGTGCCCAATCTCTGCCTTACGAGTTCCGTGCTCTCGAAGCTGTTTTGATCAGCGTCACAGCAGGCCTTGAGGAGGAGTTTAATGGTGTTCGAGAGCCCGTGGTGCGCGTACTTCGGGCCTTGGAAGAGGATATTGATAGGGATAAGCTCAGGCATCTGTTGATCTACTCTAAGAAACTGGGTAGTTTTGAGCAGAAAGCTCGACTGGTGCGGGATGCAATCGATGATTTGCTGGAAGCCGACGATGACTTAGCGGCGATGTACTTGACTGAGCGTTCAGAGGGCGTTCAGAGACAGGAGCACGACCATCAAGAAGTTGAAATGCTGCTAGAGTCGTACCACAAGGTTTGTGACGAAATCGTTCAGGAGAGCGGTAACTTAGTGACCGGCATTCGGAATACAGAAGAAGTGTACGTTGTCGCTCTTTCTATACGTAGAGTTACCTATGTGCAGACTCGCTAATTTCCGCTTAGTGTGAAAGCTATCCTCGACGCCAATCGCAACTCTCTCATGCTGCTCGATCTGAAGTTTAGCATCGGCACGCTTGGACTTGCAACAGGAACTCTCTTCTCTGCCCTATATGGTATGAACCTTAAGAATTTCATTGAAGAGTCCGACTTTGGATTCGGAGGAGTCTCCGTCATATGCTTTGCGATCACCGCGGTCGTCTGCGTATATGGGCTAGCGAAACTGCGCAAGCTTCAGCGTGTCCGAATGTGGGGTGAGGCCGGCGTAGGTGGTTCACCGATGGTTTCCCTTCCCACTCGAAACAGCGCGCTCACGGCACACCGGTCCAACTGGCGAGCGGATTCCATTGAGCCGGTCTGGGGTGGTCTTCCAGGCGAAGGTCGCGCCGAGAGAATCAGACGTTTGAAAGACAGCGCCGCGGCTGCGGCTGCCAAATCCGCTGCCACCGAACCTACTGCGCAGCGAGCAGCAGCTTTGAGGAATGCGACTAAGTCGCAACCAAAGCAGAGCAGTGAATCTGCAACCCATGGGCCTGCTGCTAACATCGGTGGTGACTCTACGTAGAGCATAGCTACCCATTGTCAATCTTCAATGCCAGCTCCTTGTTTCCCTCTGGTCAGCCACGGCCACTCGATGCTGGTGATTCGCCATGACTTTCTATAATTGACGTATTTATCGCATGGTTAGGTGTTGGGTGCGTGGTTTTCTTGCTTTTCGTTTGATATCACCTGGACACAAACATCTTTCAAGGGTCTAATGTGTTAACGTGTCTAGAGTACCTCTTCTCTCACTGATAGAATTCTCGGAAATTCTCGAAGTATTTCATAATGTGTTCATAGATTTAGATCGTTGGGGAAAGCTCACCTCTATGTACATTAACACTACTCAATCTACAAACTATAAACCATGACTTGTCTGCTGCCCCCATACCTCTAACACAACCACAGACCTATCGTTATTCAGAGCAGCACCACCGATTCCAGTAAGGGTGGCGGAAGAAAGGAGACAGAAGTCTTAAAAGACTTGTTCAGGCTTCAGTCTGCGCAAGCATCCGAGCGTTTCTTGCTCAGTTATAAAGCTATAGCTTGAACGCATATGAGACAATGGCATTTGCCCATTGATATAAAATGGAACGAAGAGGCTTATATATAGTCCGAACGATGGCCAGGAAATTGGCTAAGTGTGATGTGTCCTGAGTATCATATAGAAACTAAGTTAGATGTCCTCGCTGGTTGCCCGCTCCCTGTCCTTTATGAATGCCCTTGGCCCGCTCAGCCCAAATATTAGCAGCGCCTACCACGCCCCCATCTCGTGAGCATTCCCGTTGAACTGCTGCCATTGCTTTGTCAAGAGCCGACCCATCTGCGTCACCGTTGCAGTCAGAAGTAGACTGTTGTTGTTGGTTCCGTGCACGCCATTCCTTTGTCACTCTCTTGCGGCCGCCTATTACACCCATGTTGCGGGTGCTGGGGATCCGAAGGAGCGTTTTCTCTACACCGTATCCGATTTCCTCGGCAACGCTTATTGTCTTCATGGTGAGGGAACCATACATGGATTTGTAGAAGCCCACATCTATTTGGGCCTCTTGTTTTGCCTTGCGGAGAGCCTTCAAATCGCCCGTTGCCGGTTGTTCAGAACCAACGTCTTCATGCTGTGACGAGTCCTTCTTATCAGGATCAGACTTCGACGCCTTAGGCGGAGGATACCGATACTTCGCCCCTGAAAGCGCATGCGAGCAACAAGGAATGGCAATAAACGGCAGCGGCGACTCCGGACACGCAAGGGTGGCCATAAGGGGTGTCCAGACCGTCAACTCATCAGCATGATTGGAAATAATGAATGTATCCTTCTCAAATAAGCCCTTATGCGTCTCGACGCCTAAATCAGGCACTCCGCCCGCCTCCACCATCGCGTCAGCAAAAGGCTTCGGGATATAGATCTCCTCCTTGAGTCGAGCCTGTACGAACTCGGGGAGGATCTTCCATGTTTTGCGACGACGGGCGTCAAAACCCCAGCCCCGGTAGCCTTCCATGAGGAGGACGTACACGAGCACGCCGTTCCCGCACGCAACGTCCACGAAGCCTGGGAAGTTCGGGTCGTACTTTTCGGGCCCGTCTTCGTTTCGCTCTTCGGCGGGGACGGCTCCGTACATGCTTCGCCATAGCTCGATGAGGAAGGCTGTTATTGCCAGGTCCTCGAAGACGTGCTTTGTTGGTTCCGTGTCTTCGACCCAGTCTCTGCAGAGGTCTTTTGCGTACTTAAATTTGAGGCGGGAGTATGTGTTTTGGACTAGGTGTTGTGGGATTACGTTGTCTTTGCTGGGGTTGTAGTTGCCTCCTTCGGAGGTTTCCGAGGGGCGTGTGTTGCGGGCGAGTCGGATCTGAGTATTTAGTAGGGAGTGTAAAGTCCGTTCTAGGCGGTTGGGGATTGCTTCTTCTGGGTACGGTAAGAAGTGCAGCGATAGTGCTCCGGAGCCAGATCCGGTTTCTGTAGACTCTGTAGCTTCATCGGCGAAGTCATACAGGTAGGCCAAAGAACGAAGCAGGGGATGATAGAAAGGAATGTCCTCCTTCGACGCTACATGCGGCGTATAGACGGCCAGGAAGCGCCTTAACCGGGATCCCTGAGTGGCACCCTCGCTACCGGGAGCTATGTCCGCTTCATAGAAGTGACAGGTTTGCTCTAACGGCCGATCCAGTTTTGGGTTTCTGGGAATCAGCCTCCTGACCACCGTTCTGGTTAAGTTGAACCCGGCGACTGCTTTCGCCGCAATGGGTTCTACATGGTCTTCAGCGTCCGCGGTAGCTTCCACGCTGGTGTTCCCCGTCTGCGCAAATGACAGCTCCTTCTGCTGGGGCGTACTCAAGACGCCCTGGCTGTCGTAGAGAATATCTGCTCGGAATAGATGTGTGGAGTTTATGTTAATGTTACCCAGGAGATATATGGTTAGGTCTTTCATAGCCTCTGGGATGAACGAGAGTCCATCCTCTATCAAGTCTCTGGATGTCACCCATTCTTCGGTGGGTGTGTTTTGCAGAATAGACGATGGCTCCAGCGTCTCGGGTAAGGGTTTTCCTGAGAGTTTTGTCACGTCTCTGACGGTTTTATTTCTATGATTTTTCATTGTGTGCTGTTTTTTGTGGTAGAACAAAGAGACTTTGGGAAGTTTAAAAAGCGGTGATTTGTTGGGTTTCACCTCATGGGCCACTCGTTTGAATGGAGGCTGGGTAACAGTTACTACTACTAGTAGTAGTAGTATACCACCAGCGTCAGTGGTTATAGTCTTTTTTGATCAACGTTCCTGAAGAATATCCTCCTCAGGACATGATTGGCTAGAGACATCTCGCCTTCGCTTAGTAGTTTAGATTAGTCATGGCGATGATGTAAGTTGGATATAGAGACATAGTTAGTTAACTAACTACTCCGTAACTAACTCACTACTAGTCAATGGCAGTCGCTTCGGAGTTATGCAAGCGATATGACGAACAGTCGGGGTTCACACTGGAATAGCCCGTGACCTGCAAGATGGTCTAGAAAAAGCGGTGTGCCACAGCGTGAGCTTGATTGAACTCTAAAAGAACCCGCCAGGGTTTACTAGTAGGTTAGTATACTCGGTAGATCTGAACCAAATGTCATCCCTCTTTGTCCATGCAATCAGGTTGACTCTATCAGGCACTGGCTATTGGATGGCAAATTAAAGTTAGCGATCAAATGCTAACTATCTGATGTATATCTTGCCTGCATCGGCCCTTGCGGTCAGCCAGCCAATTCCAGTGAACCTGCATGACGAGTAAGATGCATTGCATGCCAGCTCAGAATCGTGATCTTTCGGACCCTCCTACCCCAGAACAAGCCGGCAATGATTGGTGCATGTCAGATACACTTACCTAATGATTATACCCTTTGCATGAATTTGCTTTTGTGGTTCAGCTCCCACCCGTCAAAGTTTGGTGGAAGGAGGGCCTACAGTGTCCATCAATTGTCGAATGTCCCGGTGTGTCTGGTGATACTAACATCCATTGGTTATGATACCGCCCTGAACGACCGGACTCATGGCATATTGGACCTTACTCTAGAGTAGAGTAGCACGAATAGCACTAGAAGGGAGATGAGGAGATTTCCTCTTTCCGATCTGCATATGAGAGCGCTGTATGCAAGGCCCCACAATTGATAATCCCAGCAACCGAGCACTCCGTTTAGAACGTCTAGGCACAAGGAGTGGCCCAGACTCTACCCGGCATTGGTGAATGAACATGTCGCGTCATGCAGATTCTGTGCTCTTGGCACTTTCAGCAGTCTGGGGACTCGTTGTTTCTGGAATCTAAAAGAGGATACCGGTTTCCATTCAGCTAATAAGTCCGTACAGTCTCTTACCGCCAGAGTCAAGATCTACAGTGCTCCGTAGACTGACTTTCTTGATGAGGTATGCCTCCCGCGAAGGGATCAATCATTATTGGCTACAGCTTGCAGTTTCTCGTCAACACAGGAGCAGGGACGAGGTACGTGCCATGGGAGCTTACGACTGGCGGTAAGGTAGAATGTATTTAAGCAGGAGCGGGTCTATCCCGGGTGCTGTCGTTCATCAACCTTCTCACTGCAATTGAGCCTACAAGCTGATGCCAGGCTGGCTGTGTTGACCTTGAATCCCTAATACTACCACCGAGAAGCCGAACGTACTTAACCATGGGAGACAATGGCCCTATTCTTGAGCCTTGGATGCCTCCTCGGGCACCACAGGTATTCCCTCCTGGTAAAGGCAACATCTATCCCTTCGGGGAGTCGCATGCAAGTTAGCTCGTTGGCCGTTCTGATAGACCAGATACTGACACTAACCAGGCTGTTAGCGTATCTCTACCGACATGGAACTCAGTGATTGGATTGTCTCGAAAAGAGAAATGGCTCCTGGACCAACTCGAATGGAGCTATCCTCGGTAAGTCCCATGTTCTCGCTCGAGATAGGAGCGTTATCAACTAAAGTAACAAGGTTCTATCTAAACAAGCCGATTCGTGACCTCTCTGATGCAGTTCTCTGCCGACTCCAGATCAACGACACCACAATCTCCTGCATGGTCTTTTCGTCTGCTGCTGCCGGTCAACAATGCGCCACAGTACTCAAGACATTACCCTGTGAGAATCCGTTTTCAATCGAAGTGATTCGGTTTGTCATGCCGCTGGAGTCGAATTTGGGGGATACCAGTGCCCACTGGGCCAACTTCACTGCGGTCTTGTATCCATCTGATTTGTTGAAGGCGGCCATGGCATTCTGGCGGGACACCGGTTCAGGATTATCAACACGCCATGCAGAATTCTGCTTGGAAGAATTCGGCTACCTTGACTCTGACTCTGCAACTCCGGCATACCGAACCCCAGCGCTGCGGAAGAGACGTCGAGGTGAAACCCCGGAGTCTCTTACATGGATGCGAGCTGCGGCTGGGAACTCACACGAGGTCAAATCATTCCTTGCAGACCTTGCTACGTCTGAGCAACCGGGACAACCACCTGTGAGTCCCAATGATGTATTTCTATACCCTACCGGTATGAACGCTATCTACACGCTGTCGGAAGCTCTAGATTCGCCAGAATACAAGGTTGCCATGTACGGGTAAGTATCTCTGACGGACTGTGGCGCGAAGCCATCCCGAGCAATTCTGACGAAACACTTTATAGATGGCTATACCCAGAAACAGTGGACGTCGTTCGACGAGGCACATGGGCAGAATGCCTCTCCTACAAATATGGCACAGAGGAAGAGTTAGATCACTTGGAGGCCCTCCTACAATCAGGCCAACAGATCCGGGCATTATTCTGCGAACTGCCCAGCAACATCACTTTGGCATCACCAAATCTCCGTCGAATTCGCACACTGGCAGATAAATACGGCTTCGTTGTCGCCTGCGACGACACCGTTGCCGGCTATGTCAACCTCGATGCGCTTCCTTATGTAGACGTCATGATGTCCAGTCTTACAAAGACATTCAGCGGAGCATCAAACGTCACCGGCGGAGGGTAAGATAGTACCTAGACCAGTGCATCATTGCCACAAACCGCAACTAACCTTCTCACGCAGTCTTGTAATAAACCCCAACTCCCGCCATCACGACCAAATTCACGCCGCCCTATCCAAGAACCAAGATACCTATTTTCCCCTAGACGTCAACACCCTCAGACAGAACAGCAAGAACATCGTCTGGCGCGTGAAACAATGCAACCAGAACACGCTTCCACTGGTTGATCTCTTCATAGCCCACCCGGCCATCGCCGCGGTAAACCACCCGTCCATCGCGCCCACATCCGCCCTGTACGAGAGCGTGATGCGCAAGGACGGCGGCTACGGCAACGTTCTGAGCGTTGTCTTTCATGATCCGCGCACAGCAGAGCACTTCTACAACGCCTTCAACGTCTGCAAGGGGTCCAGCTTCGGGACCAACTTCACGTTGGCTATCCCGTATGTTCAGCTAGCTAATTACTGGAACCAAGACAAAGTTGCGAAGCACGGGGTGCCGAGACATATTATTCGGATTAGCGTTGGGCTGGAGGATTCAAGGCAGATTGTAGAGACAGCGAAGAGGGCGCTTCAGAGTGTGGATGAGCTTGAGTTACAGAAGGATCTTAATTGATCTGTGAATTTCTAATATAAGAGTTATGCCAATTAATTGTTCACATCCGTCATCAAATCTATACCTGCCTGCTTTACTGATGTAAAAACCCTACAATCTACATCCGACTAGCCCAGAAGAAAGATCTATAAATACTAGTGCCTCTCCACTATGTAATAGCAGACTTAAACACTCTGGACACCTTGTTCCTCTTTTACAAACCACCCTAGAAAACTATCCACACTGTTCCTGCACGACACAACAATCCTAAATAGCCTGAGGACAATCAATCTCCACAGACAGAAAATGTACATACACACAATATGCAGCTAGTAGTACACCCATCTAATGTAATCCCCTTACATTAAAAAAAAAAAACAAAAAACCACAGAAACAAACCAAAACCCACAGCAGCTCTCCCAATGCTTACCCAAACAACACCAAGCAAAAAGCGCCCCACCCAGCTACCTTAGTGACTACTACGCAGTATCAACCCCCATAAATGACGCAATAACCCCCACCACCAAGCCCTATCTATCTTCCAACAACCCCAAATAACATCCCTACCTGCATCCCATAACTCTACTACATCATACCCCCTACAATAAAACACCACATACAACAACAACAACTACTACTACTACTACCTACACCACCTTCCACCCACCCCACCCCTTCTTGAAAGGAAACAAGGAAAGAAAAGGAAGAAAAATGGTCCCAAGATGCTTCATAATCCGGCACGGCGAAACGGAATGGTCCCTCAACGGGCGACACACCGGCAATACGGATCTGGCGCTGACAGCCAACGGCGAGAAACGGGTCAAGGCGACTGGGAAAGCACTCGTCGGGAATGATCGGTTGATTGCGCCGAGGAAATTGGTTCATGTGTTTGTTTTACCCTTTCTCTTGTCTCTCTTTTTCTCTTGTTTTGTTTTTGTTGGTTGGTTGGCGTTTGGGGGGGGGGGGGGGGGGGGTGGTTTGCTATTACTGAATGTTTTTATTGGGCTAATGGAGGGGTTTTCTTTGGATAGGTATGTCTCGCCGCGGGCGCGGGCGCAGCGCACGCTGGAGTTACTTGAGATTGGGTGTCGGGAGAGATTACCCTGGAATGAGGAACGGAAGAGCGAGGATGAGGAGCCGATTCGGACGGAGGCCAAGGTTGAGATTACGGAGGCTGTGAGGGAGTGGGATTATGGGGATTATGAGGGGTTGACGAGTAAGCAGATTAGGGAGATGAGGAGGGAGAATGGGGAAGAGCCGTGGGATATTTGGAGGGATGGATGTCCTGGTGGAGAGTAAGTTTTGGGTTCATTCTTTATTCCATTCCTCCCTTCCTTTTGCTTTTTTTGGGATGAAGGAAGAGGATGATCGCTGTTTTGTATGTATGTATGTATGTACATTATTCGCTGACTGACACTGTCTCAATCAGATCCCCCGAAGACGTCGTCCGCCGTCTTGATGCCCTCATCGCCGATATCAGGAAGAAGTTCCACGGTCCTTGTTTCGACAGTGAAGGTGATCAAGGAGATGTCCTGATTGTCGCACACGGCCATATCCTGCGGGCTTTCGCCATGCGCTGGACCGGGAAGCCGTTGACCGAGACCGCGCTGATTCTGGAAGCTGGAGGTGTGGGCACACTGAGGTGAGAGAGACCGGCCGTGGTGCTACGAGCTGCGCTAACCGTCCCAGCTACGAACATCATAATATCGAGGAACCGGCGATTATCCTCGGAGGAGGCTTTGTGGTCGAGAACTAATAGGCGTGGTATCTCTGTTTATTGGATACCCCCTGAGGATAACCTATCCAAAACACCAATCAGTAATTGAAATAGAGGCGTAGATCGGATGGATAGATAGACAGGGATGATATAATTGGTTTCCGATGATCAGGAGGAAATAGATAAAACTCACACATATATCCCACTAAAGCAAAGTACCAACCGATCACGATTCACTCTCCTTCTTATCGGCATTACCCTTGACACCCTCCTCTCCCAACACCTTGGCCGACCCCATAAACAGAGCTCCAACATAGCCGCCCAAGAACCGCATATCCTCTGCCTGCACTGCAGTCATACGGAGCAGGTTTTGCGTGTCAGTCAGGTTGGCGTTCAGCTGCTCCAACTGAGCCTGCAGGTTTGCATACTGCCGAGTCTTAGCGGCGGACATCGATGAAGGACCGGCGGTGGTCGAAGACGGAGGGAGAATGGACTGGCGGGGGAGGGCCTGAGATTGGCTGTAGTGGTGAGAAGGCGGCATGATTGCTCCAGATCGTAGTTTGTTCGCTGAATGCTTGTACGTGCTCGTTGGTACAATCCGTGCGCAAAGGCTGTTCCTCTTCTTGGTTTTACTTGGGGAGTTTGAACGATGTGGAAGGAAGTGGCTCAAGTTTGTTTACAGTCGGTGGGGCGTCGCTTTAGGGATTAAATCCACATCGGTCACGTGGAGGCACCAGAAACAAAAACCCCCAATCATCAACGGAACAATTTATCTACATCATTTTTGGTTGTGCATATACAACACCATACAATCGGCTATACATTAGACAGTCTTCTTTGTCTCTGTTATGCAAACGTTTGGATCATTCAAAACACTCTCGTCGTGACATGGCAGGATCACCGTCTATCTATCATGCGAACCTCAAGTCTCGTTTATTGTCAATGACATGGTTCTAATCGAATGATAGCGTCCGTGTCGAGACCTCAGCTCAGCTCTCTCGTCAATATCTTGCAAGAACATGAACCCAGCCAACTCAGATCACTCAATCAACCGAATAAATCAGACTCCTGCTCTTTTTATGCGCCAGAAACCAGACCATGAACGTAGAGATTTCGGGGCTACTAGGATGTTCCACACCAGAGCCCATAACAAAAGCAGACAGAATGGCTGAGGACAAGGGAGGAAAAGAGGAAAAGTAAATAAGGGAAAAGGAAATGTGTCAAAGGAGGGCATGCATGTCACAAAACAGTGGAGATGATACTGTAGCAGATACAACGAAATGAGACGCCCACTCAAGGTAGTGTACAACATTCTTTCATGCAGGAAGAAAAAAGAGAAGCAAAAAAAGGAAATGAGATAGTCGTGGGGACTGAAGATGAATGTTTGTGGTATAATTGCGAGGAAGTCAAATCATACTTGTCGGATCGAGCTTTGTGCTCGCCTTCATTAAAATAGAGAGTGCTCGAAGAAAAGGAAAGTAAAGTGAAAGCAAAGGACCACATGCAACACGCGCCCGACCACTCCAAAGCAGTAGCATAAAACGAGAAGATGTCCCGTATGTCCCTCGGTGTATATGTAATGAACTGAACGAGAATATAAGGTCTTGAGTCCGCTCCCACCCCCCTTGCCAAGCATCTTATTAAAAAAGAAATTCTTGTACAAAGTCAAAGGGGACCCCCCGGGCAGCGTTTTCCAGCCAAGGGAGGGGGAAAGAATGGAACGCGAAGTAACCAGATGAGTACGTATAGAACAGGGTTCTAAAGCTCAGCTTTTATGAAGGTTGGTGGGGGGACGGGGGACGGCGGGCTGCGTCGGTCAACGAACGGGCGTCGCAGCTTGCTGAGCATTCAAGCTGATTTGGCTGCTATGGGCTGAGGTTTCCGAATCAAGATTCGCACTGGCCCCACTATCACCACTCTCCGCGCTGGCGCTCGCACTTCCGGTCAGACTTCTATGCTTGGGAGTGCCCTTGGCTAAAGACGAGTTGCTCACCCCATATTGTTGCTCAATTTGCTGCGGACCTACCGCATTACCTTGTCCAGGCGGATGTCTGGGAACTGGCGCCCGCATTTGTCCGGGCGGCGAAGGTTGGCCGCCACGAGGGCCGTTCGGCGGGCCGAGGCTTGGATCTTGGGACGTGCCTGGTCGGCCCATTCGAGGGCCAGGCGGACCGTAGGGGGGAGTCGCCGGAGACTGGCTGTTCCTCCTACTGGTTGGGTAAGGATGTGGTGGATAGTCACCCATTCGGCTGGCCGTCAGCGAATTAGCACGCGACCCTGCCTGAATGTGGTTTCTGTCAACCGCTCCATATCGATTCGATGCGTACGCCATCATAGGATTGTCCATGAGAGAATCGTGGAGGCCAGGGATTTCCTGCATGATCCGATCGCTGGTACGTTTCCTTCCCCCGAAGTATCGGCTAAAGGACGACCCAGGCCTGCTACCGCCGCCGCCGCCGCCATTATTTAACATGATTTCCGGATTCTTACGGAGCTGACTGGCACTGGGGCCCGACTTCTTCGTCCGTCTCGATGTGATGCTCAACATGTCCACTTGGTCTGGGTCGATCGATGGAATCGGCAGAGTGTCCATTGGATCGAAATAGTCATCCTCGTCCTCTTCATCAAATGTTGACCTCGGGGGTGGAGGTGGTCGCCGAGGGCCTCGACGCATACCCATCTCCTGTTCTCTGATCTGCAATTCACGCTGTCGGATCGCCAATTCTCGTTCCCTTAAAGCCAAGTCAGCTGCGGATGATGGAGGCCCGGGCGGCATATCTGGATGGCCGTTCGTGCCGTTCTGAGGTGGTACGCCATTCTCTGCAGCAGCTGCGGCGGCTGGAGCAGCATCATCGTACATGACGAGGTGGCTGAACTCCTCGAGACCCTCCAAAGAAGGATCACGAGGGGGCATCCTGGCTGCCTGCGGCTGTGCGCTCGGGGGTCTCGACATTCCCGGGTGAGGCGGCCCACGTCTAGGCATCATCCCAGAAGGAGCCCTGCCTCCACGCATAGGACCATTCATCGGCCCTCTCGGTGGTGCCGAAGACATCCGAGGTGGCGGTTGAGCCAGGACAGGTGGAGGGGATTCGTTAGTCCGGGGCTTACTCAGATTCGTGGCATTGACATGATGAAGCACTGCGTAGAGAGTCTCGATCCGAGGGATACGGACACCTGATTCAGTCGCCAATTTTACTGGAGATCCGAGATATGTTTCTATTTCCATTGGACGACGGGCTTGGAAGTCCTGATACATTGTACTTGGTGCACCATTGGCGGTCATCGTTTCAATCGTCTTCTTAGCAAAGTCATTCGGGAAAGAACACCCGTTCGCCCGCGCAAGCTCGAGGAGCTCCTCAATGATGTCTGAGACAAGTTGGCGTACGCGACCTTCTCGAGAAGTTGTGTGTGGTTGGAGGTTTCAAACATTACACTAGTAGGGTAGAAAGCAATAGGACTGTAGCACCACAGTTAGCCAGACTCAGTCTGAAAAAGTAGCCTTCTCTCACGACTCACCCTATCATACGATCGAATTGCTCCTGTCTGATGTTATCTGATACTTTGCAGTCGACTTGGCCAGAAGCCAGGGTCATCGCGAGCGCAGCGGCCATATCGTTTTGAATCGTGGACGGGATGCTGGTTTGCTTGTTTGTAGCACCAACCCAGATCTCCGATGAGTTTAGATGCTCGAACTCGCTGGCACCAATCTGAGAGATCTCCACCCCTGACACAAGCGAAAGGACGACGTTTGTAGGAAACCGCTGCTCCAGGTGCGATTCTACCCCCAATGTGTTCGTTGTGTTCACGAGAATACACGTATGTTGAGGGGTGACGACGGACTCGATGACGGAAGCCAGGTCGTAGACATCGGGCAGTGCCTTGACGCACAAAATGACGTAGTCAAATGCATTCTCGCGAGATGCGGCATCTTCGGGTGTGCGGACAACTGCATCGAAGCACTCACATTTAGTGTCTGAACAAAGGATACAGACCGTACGTAGCAGGGAACAAGAGATCTGACTCACCATGGCGAGGCTTAAAGCGCTCATTGCCGAAAGCTTTCGACCTAAATCACCGTTGATCAACGAATCGCTCCGGGAACCAAAATCGACGAGCGACATACTTGAAGGATACTCCATATTGAGATACTGCCTCATAGCCCGATTTCCACACTAGTGTCACGTCGCAGGAGGTCGTCGCCTGAAGTCTCCACGAGAGGAAGGCCGAGATAGCATTGCTGCCGACTAAACAGAGTCTAGTTAGATGACGGCCCATCCTGGGTACTTTGGAGAGTGATTTGGGTTGTAACAAGGGCCCATTTAGGGAACGACAGGAAATTTGTCGTCAAAAGGCAAATTGGAACGGTCTTGCCGGGTCAGTGCGAGTACAAACCTGATAAGATGCGCAAGCGCGGCGGAGGAGCCATAATTAGCGATCAAAAATGGAAGGAAGCTCCCGCTGGTCCACGGTCGAAAAAAAAGGCGATGGACGGATTGTAACTGGTAGACGAAACTCCAGAACAACGACTGGAGGCGCGATTGACGCTGCCTACCACGGGATAGAAGAACGCAATATCACGACCGAAGCCAGGGCGATTTCGCGATGATTAAAACAACGGGATTATGAAAAAGGACCAAAGAAAACGAAAGTAAGGGGAATCACCACAGGACGATTAAAAATGGGTAAAGGGATTGAGGAAAGGGACCAAAGGAAAGGAGGAATTAATCGTAGGGAGAGAAGGAGAGAAAGACAAGACAGTATAGTGAAAGGGGATGAGGGAAGGGAAAAGGGAAAAGAGGAAGACGCGAGAGGAGACGGATGGAGAATAGTAGGAGTAGTAAGTAGTAGGTAGTAGTAGTAGTAGTAGTAGTAGTAGTAGTAGTAGAAGTCGATGGAGAGAGCGGTGCTGGAAAGCAGATGTGCCAGCTTTGGGCGGAAAGGCAGCCCGAAAGTAAGCCTATGGAGCAGAATCTGGAAAGTTATCTCTTTTTTTTTTTCTTACTCTCTTTTCGTATTTTCCTTCTCTAATTTTTTTTACTCTTAGTTTTCTTTACAATGACCAGGCTTAAACGGTCGTGGATCCCCCGCCAGGGCTCGAACCGGAAACGGAGTGCAGGGGAGACGAAATGACTGTCAACGGAGAGGGGGAGAATAGCGAAAACAGTTTCCGTACTATGAAAGAGAAAAAAATAAAAATAAAAATAAAAAAAATAAAAATAATAGATTTGCGGAATGAGTGATAAGGAAATAAAATAATAAAACACAATTAAAATAAAACTCAAAAAATGTTGATTCCCGTACACACACACCGAGGCCAATTCTTCTATTAATTCCCTTAGTATCGGAATTGGGAAAGATAAGTTCGAAAAAGAAAAAAAGAAAAAAAGAAAAAAAAAATCATACTTTCCTTCGTCCGTTTATTTTTAATCTTATTTAGGAGGCGAAACGGGGACGATGATTTCTGAGGACCATGGCTACTCCCCAACAATGACTATGGCGACTCCCCTTGTTCTTTTTCTGGGTTCCAGTTCCTCTTAATCCTTACCTAATTAAACATCACTCACGCTATAAACAAATATATTATATTATTATGTACATAATAATAGAAATCAATCAATAATTGTCGTCTATTTTTCTTTCTTTTTTTTTTTTTTTTTTCTTTCTTTCGATGTCCTTCTGCTTCAGTCTATACCCACAATTTCAATATTACTTAGTCCCAGACAGAGAGATACAAGGACTACTAGTAGTAGTACACCTCACTAGACGTTCCGGAGGACGGAGCGACATCATCACCAGCGTCATCACCTTAATAAGGACGGAAATGAAAAATCGAAAACAGAAAAATTATTAGAGTGGATGATTCATGAGACACGACAACACCCACTCAAGCCAACCATGATGCAGTAATCACCCAATCGACCACAGCTGCACATCCTCCCGTCGAGTCCCCACTCCAGCCCACTTCGTTTGTTGGATGGTCGAGGTCAGAAAACCGGGATATCACCGCTTGTAATCGGCTCCGGCAACATCGGATTGGTCTCTTGCAAAGTCGATGGAGAACCTCATCGACTAGTCGGAACTAGATTATGGATGTGCTTTCCCAGCACCAAGTACTTCTTGCGCTTAGTCCACGATAGCGCTGATAACTAAACCGATTCTAGTAACGAGCTAGAATCACCCTAAGGTCCAACCCAGGAGAACGATACGAACAGAGGGAACCAACGGAGTCGTTCATCCCTCGATATCCACCTCGTTCTAAGACATTGTCTTCTGTACGGAGTAGATATAATATAAACTCACTCCTCCATCTCCATCTGCTACTTCCCATCTGCTCATTTCCTTAGAATATGCTCCTCGGGACCATCAGCGTCGGTTGTGCCAACCAGCAACAATCCTCCCGGCTGAATCATTGAACAAAAAAGCCACAGACGCCGAAAGTGTTACCCTCTTGGATCAAGCTACCCAGTCACAAGCTCTTCACAAGAGACGACCCATGCCCATGAAGCCGGCTCTGCGTGTGACAAAAAGTTCAGCATGATAGATCCCGTGTCCTCTCATGGGTAGGATGGCTATCATCGTACACCGTTTCTTCTAAATTTTGTTTTTTTTTTTTACCTTGTTTAGTGATCCAACTTCTCAATCAGAGGGATACAACCCCTCTTCATCAATACCTACTCTAACCTAATCTCAACCCTCAACCATGGGAAGAAGGGATATCCCGTCCCAGATCGGACATTACACCTTCGGGAAGGGGGAGGCGGTGTTGATTCCTCTCGGCATACCAACAAGCTCACCTCCGGAGCAGGGATCGATCGACAATTCCAGGGTCCGATTACTAAGGTCAATAGTAACTAATTAGTATAGGCCGCATGCAGTGACAACCCATCATTCAAGTAACCACTTCTAGCCTAGACCACTCTTCATAGTCTTGCTATTTACGGGCTGCAGTGCATGGACACATGTTACATCCTGCCAGGCACTGTACCGAGAAGACTTCTAGATAAACTTCAGACGGGAAACGAGCGCATGGAACCCCCCATGTGGTCGAGTATTGTTTGGCGATCAAAGGCCATTGTTTGAAGTGAGGCAACGACGGGGGAGACGACCGAACGGAACCCAGGAAAATAAGCTAAGGGCTCGTTTCGGATCTTTTGCATGGGGGGCTTTCTTTGCTCCGTTTGGGAAAAATTGAAACAATGGTGGAGGACGGGGGAGTCAGTTAATAATCAATCCAGGAAACTTACATAAGTATGATCGTTGCGATTCCCATTGGAGCCCGATGAATGTGCGGAGGATTCCAGTGGTGTAAGGCCAAGTCGCTTGGTATTTATCATTGCAAATCTGAACATTCTCCATGCAACTGACAGAAGTCTTGTTGTCCCTGTCAGCGCCCAACCCTCTCCTTCCCCGACTATCAACGTCCAGGAAAGTCCTGTACGCAATCCATGACCTCATCATCATACAAGCCACGAACAAAGAGAATCGCAGCAAACAAGCGAAGAGGGGAGAAAAAATCCAAAACAACTCGGAAACCATGGTCCAGACCTTTGGAGACGCCGATCACGCCGATTGTTCAAAACATCGGCCGTGGGTCTCTAATCTTGGCGGAATCTAGCGTGTACTCTAGTTGCTCAGCAGAACAAATCACATCCCACTATCTTTAGTTCCTGTTTCTATCTATGGTACCAGCCAGTGGGTCAGGTACATATCGAATCTTCCAATAATAGCAGAAGAGATTTCCTGAAGTCCCTCTCGACATTGCCCTTGTTCATGGAAAAAGGGATAGTCTTGAGAGCTGAAGAATGTCCGGTTGCAGCAGACATGATATGATGGTTGCAGCGCCGCATATCTTCCAGAAACCTGTCAATGAAATGAGACAGGGGACGGTGCATAATACACTACGTCTCGTATAAGTCGGTTTTATGCAATTCACAACGTGACGGCCGAATCAGTCCCGCGACCTCTGCATTCGGCGAACTCCAACATTGCCGACCGCCACCGGCTTCAACATCCCCTTTCTATCTTACAATCCGTCGCTTCCCCAGGCCAGAGAGGGAGACTTCCGTACGGCGTACGTAGTAGGCCACCTCAGCAGTGGGATATCTGCGACGAGCTTTTGGTCGCGTAGACTGGGTAAGCATTGTCCAGCCCCACATCAATCCGCAGCCGATCGATCGAGTCCGTGGCTAATTTCCTCCCAGACAGACAAGACGAGGTACAAGGTACAAGGTACTCTAAGACTAGAGATAGAAGTACGATGGTACTTCCGTTGGAAAACAAAAGGAAAAGGAAAAAAGAAGAACAGCTAGACTGCTGGTTACATCCGTATGCAACAACCCCATGCACGTAAGACGCGACACATATGACGGTTACACAGTCAACGCCATGTCTCTGCTAGTGAGCGGGCGGAATCGAGTCAAGCCACACAGTCGTGCCGATGCAAAGATCCTCAAAAAGCGGCGGGAAGCAATGCCGCTTTAGGGTTAGTCCTCGCATGCATCGAATCAGGTACATTCAAAGAAAACGATAAGCAGAAGAGTAAAAGTAGTTAACTACTAGTTAGTGAGGAAGAGGAGGAGATACGCTTAATCTGTGCTGAAAGCAACCATTCCCACCTGGGCGGAGGAGGAGGGACCCGAGTCATGACACTAGGAGGAGAAAAATATGAAAAGAAGAAATGAAAAGACAACCCCACTCCAACAAGACGAAGAAGAAAAAAAGAAAAAAGGTGGTGCAAACCTCAGCCGCAACCCAGTATTTGAATTTAATATTTTCTGATGTCTCCATCATCTTATGCGCGGCAATAAATCCGCTTTCGACCTGTCATACCCCCTCCAAAAAAAAAAAAGAAAAAAAAGAAAGGAAAAGAAAAGAAAAGAAAAGAAAAGAAGAAAAGAAAAAAAAAAAAAAAAAAAAACCCCTAAATCCAATTCTCTCTCAATTTCTTCAAAAGTTCATCTTACACAAATCCAAACGTGCCCCATACGTCATAACATGAAATCATCCGCCCCATCGCCCTGATAGTCATTGTCTCTGATTTCCCCCGCAAGTCCGAAAGCCGTGGTGGCACACAATGATCGTCAATGGCGTTCAGCAAAGCTTAGTCGAATCGTGGAGTCTCGCTTCCGCGTATATCCTAAGTCGAGAAGGTAAGGTATCGGCGTAGCACCGCCACTCGGCACGACGCTACTTCTGCGGACGAAATGAAGGTTGACTCCACCGTCATGGGTAAGTCTAAACTGGGACGCGTGGGCAACCCGGTTCCGTCAGGTGGG